TTTTATGACCACCTGCACCGGAGACTCTGCTAGGCTGCGCGCCCGCCGTCTACGCATGAGCAGGCGCAATCGCTTGAAGCATCCGCAGCGCGCGGGCCTGCTCCAGAACGAGATCAAATTAGCACACAATCATATGGAGTCTACGCGCCAGGGCCGCTACTGCGCTACTGGCCCTACTTTGAAAGCTGCTCCAAGTATTCTCCGGACGAACGTTACGCTCCCCGAGTTTTGTTGCGTAGAGTAGCGATCAGCATCGTGGATATGCTCTGTTTCCCTCTTGTCGTGAGACCCGCTCGCACGGAAGGAGCGTATACGACTTTGATGTCCACCACGATAGCTTTTGGTCAGTAGTGAGTCTAAAGCACATCCCTTACACTGGTGGCACCGGCAAAGCCTCCTTTCATGGTGTTTGTGCAGGCACACTTCTCACTCTAAAATCGCGTGCAAGTCCTGGGACTCGAGACACTGGACGGGTATAGACGTTGCTGACGGGTTCGCTGACAGTGGATCCAGAGCATCTGAGAAGGGGTCTCATTTCGCAGCTCACGACAGGTGTGCGACATCAGCCGACAACAGTATCCGGGCGATTGCCTTCAGACCCGCTGCGGCTTCGCACCTGTACAGGAGCAATGCATTTCATGGCGATTGTGATGTGCGTCAGTACGGTCGACGGTGTAGACTCCGCACAGTGGAGGATTTTCATGCGGGACCCCCGTGGCAGTGCAAGGCTTTCAGTAAGCGTGATACGATGTCATGCGCCCTGTTAGCTCTGTTCGTGTCTTAACCAGCGTGTGAAGAAGATCGTGTGCTAGAACACTCTGCACCAGGTAGCGAACAGCCGTGCAGCAGACAGGCAGATTGCGTTTCTGAGAAAACAATAGCACCACGGAATCTTCTAAAGCTTGTCGCCCACTATACAAGCACACCTGCATATCTGGGCAGCTGTTCTACTGCAAAATGTACCCCTCTCAAGCCGTGCTCCCTAGACAAGTTGGCGTCAGCCACACGAAGAGAGCCGCATGCTGACATCGCATGTGTGGCGCGGCGGCTCAGAACTCTCTGCACGCTTAACATCGACTCACTTGACATGATTGATAGCCACGCGATATCTGGGTGGTGGTTTCTTCACTCTGCGTAGTAGCGAGAGTCACTCAGAACGCTGCGTACTCGATTGCTTGTGCGAGAACGGCAAGCGCTTCTCCAGAAGTACCACCTAGGTCGCGGTTAGCCTTCTGTGCGCGCTGAGTAGAGCAGGAGATGAAGGCGGTAAAAGCTACAAGCACCGTCGGAGGTGCTGATTCTCCGCGTCCTGAAAGCGTCTCGCGCTGTCTTGAGTGTCGTCTAAGCGCTGCCCCGTGAAGCCGACGCCTTCCTGATATCTGCGTCGGAGTGTCGCGCTGGCATCCTGAAACGTAGAGGAGGCCCAATAATACGTGCGGCAACCATGCTTGCACAGGTTCTAAAGCGGCCAACGCTCCTTTGACGCACTTAGAGACCCACCACTGCCGTCAGGCGCACATGTGTAAGCTACACTTCGGGGCCCGACGAGCTGCAGCTTTCATAGCAGACAGAACGAAACGCAGGTGGAGGGGGAGTCTGCCACGGGCTTCATTTCCAATGTGTTCTACGCGTCCCGCCGAGCATCCGACTCGAGTACATGACAGCTCTCTGAAAAGGAGCTACGCTGCAAAGTGAGTGTGCTTTTTCTGGAAGCAGGCCTGTTTCATTAGGCTTTATGTACCGCACCTGCAGCTACTCCTAAACAGAAACTACTCCTGGATTACTCCTGCCCGAAGCTCTGCTGGTCATTTCTCTTGTATGCAACATACGCGGACGGATGTGATCAGAAATAGCTCCGCGTGAAACACAGTACCGTTCTCTCAGGCGAGATGCTGCATGAAGAATGTCTGCGAACCAGATGATGTCGTATACCGGAGCGGTGGGGCTGCGGCTCGCAGCCGCGCTACGTGGAGAACCTCGGTATTGGTGAAGATACACTTGCTCCGCGCCAGTCGGCCAGAAGGGGGGAGGATATGAAAATCTGACTATTTCCGCGCAGTACAGCGTCCACGTGACACTGCAGGTTTGGCATACTCGCTTGAGCAAACTCGCGGTGCGCCAGGCGCTTAGCAGGCTCCTCTCTGTCACGTCTACTGGCGTCGACGGCGAAGACTGTCCAGGTGACCATTCGAGAACAACCCCATCCCCCTGTGGTGCGCCCACGAAGCGTGCTGCAGGCACACGTGGACAGACGATGTGCGCCGGACGGGGCTTCAGCTTTGTACTCCTCGCGTTCTCACTGGAACGGGAGCGCTACACATAAAATCGTGACCACGCTCTTCCACGCGCTTGGACAGGGGTGGACCCGCTGTTGTAGGGGGGCGGTTCATGGACAACCCACAACACAAACCCACTGCACCAGCAGAATAAACTCTGCTCTGAAGAAGGGAACATGATTTCAGGCGCTGCCTACGTACCCGCCCAACAGGGAATGAAAAAGCCTCCTCCTTTTGACGGCGCCTATTGCTTTCGGCATTTCATAAGAAGGCGTCCTTGTTTGCCGTCGTGTAGTGCGCAGGGAATGGCCAAGCCTCATTTCATGAGGTGGACGCAGCATCTGCTTCGTCTGTACACACTCGTATGACATGATTCGATGGACACAAACAGCGTCTCCGAGGTTCGCAACCTTAATTGAACGGTGAACCGTACCCCGCGTCTGAGGTCTTTTGCTGCAGGCAACGCTCACTTTGTATTGCCGTTACTATAAGATGTTATGCTCGTCGCGCAGCGGTCATGCCTCTGCCCTGCTCAGCCAACGGGATCGGCAGAGAGGCGGTGACCACGTACTTGCGCCTTACACTGGGTGCGGGGCAGAACGACAAAGAGAAAGCGCTCTCGTGCAGATCCGTACGTTCAACAGGAAACAGCTGAAGGAGCAAAACAGCTACGTACGTTGCGTGAACCAGGGGGTTTTGGACAGATACGTTTCTGCGCCAGCTGACGGGAAAGACGCACTCTCAGTGCAGCGTCGCGTGGCCGCTTGTTTGTGTGGAGCTAGCGAGGACTAGCCCGCTGGTGTGTTCCAGCATCGCTCGCTCTCTGTTTAACGTGAACCCAGCACGCAAGAAGACGAGGCGGCGGTGCAGTCGAGCGAGCAGCGGCTAGCAGATGTTCTTTCCGCGCACTTAGAGCGAATTGGACGCATGGACGACGCCCCCAATCCCTCTCTGTATATGCACACATGCGTATGTGTACCAGACGGCTAGAACGCACATTAGCTATGTGGATTAGGGCTTTCCCGTCCCTCGATAGCGTCTTCACGTTTTGTGGTACGCTGAACGGCGCAGGCGAGTCGCTGGACTCTGGGTCCTGGGAGGTGGGCCAGTCACACAGAGAGTATCGGCTTTGACCGGTCCCTCCCCTTTATAGTATGTTTGTGAGGGCTGAGCTCAGGCGCCTAGCCGGAGGAAAAGTCTCTGATGTCCGTTGCAAGTCAGCGTATGCCATTAAGAACCGCGCGGGTGCCTGGGGGCGCAGAAGAGCCTTCTGCGGGGCCGCGGTTTTGCTGCACATCTGTAAGCTTGCGTGTACGCTCTGCTTCCTTGTATGAGAGTAGAGGGGTGCGTCGAAATGCCAGGCCCTCGGGGACGTATGCTACATGCTCACTAGTCTCTGTGTCAAGCCTTCTCTGCTTGCTAATTTATTCATTCGAGCGAAGACTTACTTTCTCCTGTGCTACGCTAGAACTCGCGTGCGACATACCGGCGCGCTCCACGCCGCGCTGCACTGACTACGAGCTGAGGACGACACCGTCAGCCACGGGATAAGGGAAGCTCCGGCAAACGTCAGAGAAAGTCTCACCTACAGCTAATAAGAAGCACACCGACAAAAATATATGGAACAGGAAGGCAGCGGCTGGGGATCCGCAGGCGTTTTGGGGGGCGCCTGAGCTAACGGCTGCAACGGGCGCCCTGTTCGGCAGGCTGGCGAAACCCAGCCCCGTAAGAGGCAGATCTTCGCCGTGTTCGGCTTCAGAAAGCAACTCCGCGCAGGGGTTGCGGTAGGGGCTATGGCTGTGCACGGACGAACAGATGTTACTTACGACACGGCATCAAGAGCGGAAGCGGCATTCTTTCAACAGCTGATGGTCTGCTCTCTGGTGCCAGATATACCTGGCGACGCCGTCTAGGAGTCTTGTGAGGGTACGGTCTCGTCCTCTGGGACAGACTGTCGCAAACATTAAGAATGTGCAGAGGGCACTGCGTCGAGAAGTGCTGGAATATACGGAGATGTCCACTTTGGATCACCTCCCGGTAGCGAGACCTGGTCTGCTGACGAGCCTAATGCGCATGCTGAAGCGCTGCAGAGCTGCTGCACGCATATTTCCGTAAACTGCAGCTTCTGATGTCCGGACGCAGGTCTATTCATAAGATAGCAAGCACGCGTTTGCGTTTCCAGGATTCCTCACTATCTTGACAGGAGACATGCATGGCGTTAAGCCACCCTATGCAGTGTGTCTGTAGAGGACTTGCCTCTCTTTTTAAGGCTTCCTTCCTTCGGGTCGCATTTTCCGAAGCCTAAGGCACAGGCTTCGGAGCTGCTGTGCTGGTTTGCGCGCGGTACAGAGTAGGCAGCGAAGAACTTAGCTCGCGGTGCACTGCGCCTGATGCACGTGCGCACGAGAGGAGCCCTGTCTGCGTAGAATGACAGCCTTCAGAACGAGTTCACCTGTGTGTCCTGTCTGGTACGAGAAGTATCCCTCGCGCTGCTTGAGGGCTGGTCCATGCCTGGGTCCTGCTTTCAGCGACACGTTTGTGGCGGAGATGTAGGACGCAATTACCTGCGTGTGCGCCCGCTTGCAGAGCCGAACCTACTGCGGTCGCAGAGCAGGCACGTTATAAGCCGTCCAAGCGGCGGGCACCACGCAGACACACGTGCTCAGGTCAGGGAGAAGAGGCACACTCTGCCTCCAAGCGCGACCATCTCGTACCCTCCCATCACTCGGTTCCTTTCCGTCACACACCTTCAGCTGTTACTTTAAGGTTGCGAGCGGCACAGCGGTACAGATGCTCCAAATACTTTAGTATAGCAGACAGGCCAATGAGATGTCACGCTGTTTTTTTGCCAGCGAAGAAGCTCTGCTGACCACGTCATATGCAACAACGAGGGGCACATATGACCATCGCGGCGACCAAGAAGGGTCCGGAACTAAAATTTTTCGGATGAGCAACCTAGAACGCACGCGCTGGCGTTGCAAAGAACCGAGCGGCGCGCGCAGATGGCGGCGAACTCGCCTCGCTCCGAGGCGCACGTCGCGAAATCGGGAACCGCAAACCAGTACGAGCCTCGTGCAAGTAAGGACTTTTAGCGGACCCCATAGTAAACGTGCCCTGGGAGTTACTGGGGCACTAATTCGGTTCATGGGCGAAAAGAGGTCTGCACTCGTCGTGGCAAAGCCGTGCTATGGATCATTTTTAAGCGGTCAACAGGAAGCCGTTGACGTTTACAAATCCCGACGGTGCGCAGGCGCAGATGCGAAACCCGTCAGGTCGAGGCGTGGGACAGCGTGACACCTTGGCACCATGTGTTGCTGAACTGAACGGAGCCCCCCACTGGCCAGCTAGGTAGATCGCAGAGGTTCTCTAGGTAGATCGCAGAGGTTCTCTCCGCAGGTAGGCTGCACTTCAGAGCTTGTTACGCCTGAGTTGTGTGTGTGCTTAAAAAACCGCACGTCAAAAGCGGTTTACGAACATTCATCTGCCCTCAGAGCTGAGACCGAACAAGATACAGACTTTATGATACAGTCTGATTTCTGTCGCCCAGGGTACGCTCTAGTAACCCCCCGTACGCGACCCCACCGGCTGCAACCAGCTATAGGCGCGCGGGCAGACTCCCACGAAACTAAGTGTGCAGTGTTAGCTGATGGGCGCTTTTTCTAAGGTGTCGCGCTTTCCACTAAATTGAAGGTCTGCCTCAACTAATTGGGTGCGAGAAAGTGGAGGCTATCAGCAAACGCTCAGCGCGCGTTCTGCAGTTATCGAAGCCCGTTTTCCAGCGGATGCACTTCCTGGTAGTACGGCACCTAGCACATGTTTTCCCTCAACGTCTGCCCTCCAGCTCGTGCAGTCTTTACAGAGGGGAAATCGAAAGCTACACGCCAGGAACCCGTGTCTGTCACGCGGAACGACCTCTCGCAGGGTGGTACGGCTCTTTGCGCCACCAGGCCGCAGCACGTAAGTCATGACCCCAGGCGGCTGTTCTGGCTGTGAAGCACGTGATCTACCCGGCTGAGCACAGCCTGTTGAAGGAGCAATACCTGAGGAGCAGCCGGAGCAAGCACAAAAATCTCGCGGGGCACACCCACAGCAGGAAGACCTGCCTGCGTCTCTATCTTCTTTCTTTGACGCGTCTGCCCCCGCGACCATCCCCACCGCGAACTTTCGCGCGTAGCGAATTTTTGTCCATATTGAGTTGAGTCTGGCCCCCTTGCGCGGCCACACCGTGAGGGGACTACGACGAGAACAACAGCGGAAGTCCCACTGACTGGTTAAACAACGCACGCTGCTGCTTGGGCTTTCTGCATTACGTGTAGAAAAGCGCGCACAGGTTGCACATATACGCGCGTAAGTTTTTGTGAAAGGACACGGTTTCCACACGCTGGCTGCAGCTGACGAGCTTTTTCCGGCGTAAGGGTGCAACGATGACGAACGAGGCCGTTACTCCGGTGAAGGGAGACGTCGTGGCCTAGAATCTCTAGCACTGGTCACCGGATTTTTTAGAATTTTACCCTGCGTCTGGTTCGTACAGTCCACCGTGCCCAGGCGAAGAGGCTTCCTGGGCACAGCGGCACGTCCCCATCGAGTGCGTCCTTCGGCGCTGCCGGGCACTCGGGAGACTGCGCGTCACTTTGCGGATCCGCAAAGTCCATGCTCGCAGGTCCTAGTGTACTCGCTACTTCAACTGCGCGATGGTGTCCCGCGCTCTCACTAACGACATAAAGCCCTTTTGTCACCCGCAGGGGGGGCGCTGGAGAACGCTTAAAAACATTACATGGAGAGATTCACAAACATATACATACACGTGTGAAGCTGTGTGTGCCAGCGCCGAGCCCCTCTGAGCAGGAGCCACCACAGGTAGGGAGCAAGAGCTGCGCGCCGCCGGCCGGCTACGCGCGTTTCGAGTTGCGCTATAGGCGCGACAGCGCGCAGCGCTGTTTGCAACGGACATTGAACATAGCCACCTGCGAGTAAAGTTGTTTGTTCAGGTTTCTCGCTGAGAAAGTACGCTGACAAGCGCTGGTAATGATTGAAACAATGTTACGCTGCTAGCCTTAGCACGGCTGCTGGAGCGCGGGGCAACCTTATCTAGCTGATCTTCACTCGCCCGCATGAGGGCTGGCCTTTCTAGAGTTCTGGGCGGGCGTTTGCGTGCCATTCGTCTGCTGAGAAGCACAGCAGCCTAGCCTGGGCTACACGAAGAAACCGTTGCTCACCAGGAGCGCGGTAAGCTTCGAAATCAACGACGCTACAGCATGCCATACGAAAGAGCATCCTGGAAAGCGTGCGTTGCGCGCACGCTTCCATGAAATTAGAGTCGCAGCAGGAGGCAAAAAGTAAAGCCTGCTTGGGGGGCGTGCTGTTGCAACTCTGTCCATGTTTGCAACCTCTTCTGGCTGCCAGTGACACGGCAAGGCGCAGAGCAGCAGTCTCGGGTGCCCGCAGGCACGCGGACCACCGCCAGCGTCGCTCGCCGGCAAAGCTGCTATGCCGTTAGCCGTGGTGAGTCCGCCTCCCGCAACGACGAACTCGCCCACTTCTCCGTATACGCTTCTTACCTACTGGCTGCTATCCGCATCTTCTCTCCACGGTCCTGTGGAGTGCTATTTCGACCCTCAGCCTGGATGCACCGACGTGAAATTTCCCAGTACCCGGCTCATTGTCGCCTGTATAATTAGTCCGCCTTCCAGTGCATCAGGACCGCGTGTCTTGGTTCGTAAGTAGACATGTCTGAACTCGATCCTCTTCAGCCATGTTCCATGTGAATGAGTCATCAGGTTTCAGACATGCCAAAGGAGACGGTGACTTCTCCGAAACTGCTGTCTTCTTCTGCGCATCGCACTGGCCAACGTGCACATGTAGACTGACGTGAAGCAGCGGTTAGGCGGAACGGCGTCTTGGTACGTACTCCGAATCGCAGTAACAGTCCTGCCCGGCGGTAATGTCATTCGAACAGATTCCGGCCTCCGCAAGAGACTGCAGCCTTGAGAAGGCCGTGCACGTTGTCACACGGCGCCATGAACCCCAGACGATATCAAACGTTCGTCTGCGGTCGGCGCAAGCAAATCTTCCGCCGTACGGACATCTTGCTCGACTGCGACCCTCGCAGGAAAGACACCTTCAACGTAATGTGGTGCGGAAGAGTGTCTTAGGCCCTCCCTCCGTTGCTCACATCGTTAGTAATCATGAACGCAGCGTATGTGACGGCTGCTGTACCTCTCGGGCGCTGGCGCCCTGATGGGTGTAGGCTCTGGTGCTCATCTACCAGAAGCAGGCGGCATGGCGCTCCTTGCTGCAGTCGCCTTCACCTGATGAACCCGCCATTCACGCCACGCAACAGCCAAGCCCAGAGGCCAGGCCATAGCGGCACCGGTGAGCGCAGCATCACGACGTTGCTCGAGCACCGTGGTAGCCGCACAGATACAGGCTGCAATCGCGGACCTGAACAGCATACAGGAGGCTGACGCGACAACCACGCATGCCGCACCGCGACAGCACCAGCTGACAGGTGAGTTACCTAACGCTTGACGCTCAATACCAGTAGAGTAATGGCTGAGTCTGAGGCAGATCTGCAAACCCTCTGCTTCTCATTCTACTTAGCAGAGCTATCTGCTCAGTCACTGGCGGGAAACCGCCCGCATGGGCCGTCACGCCAGCCCATCGCAGGTATCACTCGAGCGGTCGAGCAGTACCATGCAGCGACCTCGCTTGTAGAGACGCTTGCAAACCTGCTCCTGCATCTGGCCCCCCTTGTAAAGTTTCAAAACAGCTTCTCATCACTCCCTGTCGTCCTGCCGGACTGAGGCTGCATCGGAATCTTTTTCTATCTTTCGAGGGTTGTGACAGTGTGCCGCAAAGACTCCCGTGCATTCTGGAACCTCGCGCCGTAGCCACCCGCGGAGCCCCCGGTTGTAGGCTCGGTTGGCGGTGAGAGACCTGTATGATAGGCACGAACACCATGCCACGCATCGACCAGGATGAGTGTCAGTACCGGCGGCTTCGGAGTGTGGCCGGTCGTCTGCTTCCTAGGGCCATAATTGTTGCTCTTCGGCGACGCGAGTTTCGGAGCAGCGGCAGCTTCCCGCGTTTGTAGCCCTTCGTGTGTCAAGGGATGGGTCCGTGTGGTTTAATTTTTTAAAGTATTATGCGAGTCGGCGTCCTCAACCACGGCTTCCGCATCTGACAGGTGGTTTGCTACCCGGCGCTCGACGGAGGGGGCGACGTCATTCATATCATTTAGGGTTCTCGTTTCGCAATCACTAGCAATTGGAGTGAGATAATGCATGGCGCGCGCTGTAAGCCGGCTGTAGGTGTAAGCTGCTATCACGTTGTCCGCGCTGGGAAGTGCACCCAGATATGCCGGCGGAGCACTTTGATGGGCCTGAAGAAGCGGGTCTCCTTACTTGCGCGTGCCGTCTCCCTGACATATCATCCAAAACACGTTCCTGTATACGATTAAATGCAAAATAGATAGCAAAGTAGCGCAGAAGCTAGCTGTTGTCCTTCGGTGCTGTCTCACAGCACGTGCCACGCCCTTTGCAAACCGCAGGAAATCGGGGTGCCATCTGAAAGTTGGGTCGCACCCGTCGGAAACAACCAGGAACTCATGCAATTACACGCGGAGCCGATGTGGAAGCATACAGCACGCTGGCAGTATAGACAGCTGGAGATGTGTTCAGAGACGGCCTGAGGCTGTCACCACCTGGTATGAGCGGGCATTCCAAGGCTCTTCTTCCTCTCGCACGCTTCCGTTGACGCCTGCTTCCCAGTCCTAGGCATCTTCCTACGGTGCCAGAGCCTGGCCTAAACTTTATACCAGTGTAGCGCCCCTGTACAACTTGAGATGGCACGTAGAGCCAGAAATGCTTCCTTCAGTCCGTATTTCCCAGCCGATGCGCTTGTCGTAGGAGAAGCGTGGGACACGATGGGAACTGCGAAGGCGTACGCCTACACGAAACATCTTTCGAAGTACAGGGGTCTGCGCAGAGCACCATTCTGATTTGACTCTAGACACCGTCGCACGCTTGCGTGGCACGTCTAAGGCATGGGCGCTTGAGGTTGTTTCATTGTCTAACAGCGGGGGACATACGAGTACCGAAACGAGACTTCTATCTTAGATACGGACTCACTCATCAAGTCCGCACCATTACGAATCGCAGCGGTGGGGAAAAGCCTTCGTTGTTTGCCCTAACAGCGCGGCGCGTTTGCTTATAGATCGGGGAAAACTGCACATCCCCATGCTAAAATATACATTCCTAGAGGCGAGCATGTCTGCTCGGTCGAGTGCCTTGCGGTCACCCAGTGAGCAACACGCGTGTGTGCCGGCGTCGGCACTGCATAAAGGCTCTCAGGAATGCATATTCCTGGCTGCGCGCCACTCCGAGTGTCGTCAGACTGCACACGTATGTGCAGCACCCACGCTGCGTGGCAACCACTGGAGTCGATTGGAGCTTGGAATGGCGGAGGGCGGCTTCGCAGCTTTGGGTGTCACGTAAAAATTTCAGCTGGAAGGCGCCGGTGTATTTCGCTCAATTCGTCCAGTCTAACTGATAAAGCGATCAGTGTTTCGCGATAAACCAGTGAAGTAGACACGGCGTAGGGCCCCTTGTGTCAGTCCTCTCCCTGTGCACGCCAACCCAGCCAGTGAGGTGATCCCTACGTGATCTCAGAAGGCTACCTTATCATTACGTGGGATGCCGTGCCTACCACAAACTATGTGCAGTGACCTGCGGCGTCTACCATTTTCTTTGCTAACTCCGATGTAGCTTGATACGCATGGCAGTAGACTGCTAGCCAATGACACGGGGAACCTGAGTGTCTCCCTAGCAAGAAGAGCTGCGCGCCAGCGCATCACCTTGGCAATGAATTTGAGCAGGTTCAAGTTCCAACATGAGCCAGGGATGCGGCGCTATGACTACGACACCGGAGCGTGATACTGTCTGGCCAGTTGTCGTCTTCGTAGTTTCAGCGGCGACCATTAGACAGATCGGGTACCGCGTTGCGCACCTGGGAGTCGTAGCCGTTAGCGTCTTCAGGAAGAGATGACACGAATCGTATCCACCACTAGTACTCACTTAGTAGTTGTTGATTCTTATAAACAACTAGTGCCTCGCGGATTCTGCCGTGAGACGGTCTAGACTTATGGACGTTGCAGGCATTATCGTACCCGTATTATCGTATTCAGCGCAGGTAGCGCCATACTACCACCTTTGAAATTGCGTTCGGGCAGCGACAGACTTCTGCCTTCGAAATCTAGGTCTTTTACTGTGCGAGAGGAACGGGGTAATATTTCTCTGTAAAAATGGAAGCAAGCCTAACAGACTACACGCGTTTGACGGCCGTGGTGGCACCTAGGCGCCTGCCGCCCTCTGAAGACTGCATCGCGGTTGTCAGGCGTCCTGGATGCGTTCCAATAACCTCACGTTTACGGTGGGTCCGCAGGTCTGAACTTAAGCCTAACGATCCGGAACGCGGTCGAAGTATGCAAAGTGTAGCTACCAGTGGGGGGAAACTGACAGTCAGGCGCGGCTGAGGGGTTGCCAAAAAAGCGGGCGGAACACTGGACGTGACGTCCAGGTGTGCTCGGTGCGCACTCTGCGGAAGCAGCCCACGTAGTTTCCAGCATCTTTTTGGTGTTACAGTCGAGAAGCCCGTGATGCTTTCATTTCTAATGCGTCTTCATGTGAGGTGGGCAGCGCTACGTCACGGCGACCGCACAGGCGTCACTCGGCCGCTCTTGAACGACTTGTTCAACAAAGAACGTCTGTTCTGAATGATTCTCTCTCTCCAAATTCTGGTGTTGCAGGCCAAGCCGACGCCCCTGCAGCCGTACAAGAACCACAGAACGAGGAGCATTTAAGGTGTCCCCCCTGGTTGCAGCTCGCTACATTCCTGACCCTGGCTGGCGTCGCTGGGTGGGCTTTGACTCGGAGAAAAGCAGCCCCTCCGACCGGTAGGCTTCGACCCGCACACCGAGGGTGCTCTCCCCGGAGCAGCTGAGCAGATTCTACATCGCGTAAGGGAATGCGCCAGCAATTAGACGGCAAACTAGAAAGCACACAGGGTGGACGATCTTTTGTGCTTGGCTGGAGCTACCGCGGATAGAGTTTGGACAGCCTGTGCAAGAAGGCTGTATGTACGTAGGCTGTCTTTGCTCATGCGCTGTTAGCGCAGCCGGCTGACTCTATGGGCGTAGCGGAACGGTAAGCTGCAAGCTAGAAGCTGCGGACGTCGCCCAATACAGAAACGGAATGTACCGTCCCGTGTCAACGCTTGCCTGCCGTTTGAGTGCCTCCTTCGCAGTGAAGCGGTGAGCTTGCACGCTCTTTCTTTAAGCGTCGGCCTTTGACAAGACTCATCTTGAAGAATGTCTCAGCTGACGGGGACTCAACATCGCTTTGAAGAGGCTACAGACAACGTGCTTTATGATGTATGAGAGCGAGTTTGCACATGCGTGGTGACCACGCGAAAGATCGGCGTCCGCGTGAAGAGAGCGCCTACACGTCGCTGGGTGCCCCCGAGAGGGAGCTTCTGACAGCGCAGGTGTGTGTGAAGATGCGTGAAAGAGGGAAAGGGTATCATTCCTGTTTCCCGTAGCTAGAAAAGTTCGCTGGTGCGATCCCGCGAATCACGCCTCTTTGTGCAAGCGGCGGTGCGCGGCTGCGGACGCGTGGACAGAAGACACCGCGGGCCTAGACTCGATACATCCTATTCGCCGTGCCGTTGCAACGCTACCGTAGCAAGGTGAATATAAACTCCTATCGGCTGCTGAAGGCGATAGCAGTGAGAGGGTGTGTGCCACAGTTGAAGAAGAGCGATTCAACTGCCCCGGAGTCGAGACAGGGTGTCGGAGGAGGCGCCCTCAGGCCGCGCGCTCTATGGATCCCGCGGTCAAGCAGTCGGTGCTAGCCAGCGATCAGTTCCGCCCCCGCAAAGTCCTGCTGAACAGACGCTTGCGGCTCAGGAGCAGTGACAAAAATACTCGTCCAAGAAAAGGGTGGTTAGATTTTCGCTCGCTGAAAACGCGAACTGGGGGAGCCGTTGAACGGGTCTTACAGAGTGAGGCGGCCGCAACGTGCTGGGCGTTCACAGATGTCAACGGAGGCATCCAGTCAGAACAGGGGGTTGCCGCTAACGTGTGGTCGTAGCACACATGTAACTCTAAAAGTATTCGTCTTGAACTATTTTGGCAGACAATTTTATGTCATAAATGAGAGGATATGCTGACGGGGTACACAAGAAGACCGAACCATGAACTGGAGCAGCCGTGCTGGTCACGTCGCAGTTCTGAGGGGCACCTGTGCAGGCGGTCGCTGCATAATTAGCCTTCGCGGCGGCGTGTTCCGAGGAACCCACAAGCCGCGGAGAAGGCGGTTCTGCTAATTCTACAGGTGAGCAAATAGGTATGACAGGATCTGCCCCAGCAGGCGCTGTTGCAGCGTTCCTCGCCTGCGCTTACGCAAAACATTGTCAGAGAGCAATCTTGACCCGCTCTGCCGGATCTCTGCAGGATTTCACAGCTACACCACAAAGCGGAGTAGGTGCCGTCGTGCCGCGTCCGCAGGGCAGCCCGTTTATTCCGATGCCTGACGTGACGCATCCGTCTTCGGCGGCCGTTCGCCCGGACACCGCTGGGGAAGAAACCGCTGCTGGCGTGTCTCAGCTTTATCTAGAGTGCTGCAGAGTGAATTACCTCGAAAAGGCCTTATCAGCAACCATTTTTTACGGTGGCTTATCACCACAACGCCTAAACGGAACTGCGTTTGGTGGCTTCGTGCACTCCACTGTACGCAGAACCCGCGGGCTGTGCACACTAATACAGACGAACAAACGTGGCGTGCAGTTTGCACTGTATGCTTGGACGGACACGGTGAGGCGCATTGGTGCCCTTTTGGGAGGTTGTCCACTGTCGATGCCTCACAATGCGAAGGCCCGCCGAAAAAGCACGCCGCAGCAGCGGCCGCGGGGTTTGCGGCTGTTGCTAACCGCGCAAGATTGTGTGAATGCTGACGCGGGAAGTGACGAACTCCGATGCAGCAGATCATACATATATATGTCGGGCACGACTATCGCCGCATCGCTAGTTGCTGCGGGTTCCCTGCTGGAGTATGCAATCGATGGGAGAAGAAACGTGCTTGCAGATGGCCACCTCGGCAGAATACCGGCCCTCTCGTTCCGCTACGATGGCCCGCATTGTGGCGAGCACACCAGCTTATGCAACACTGCAGGTAGTACGTGAGATCTTCAGTGCGACGCGAAGGGTCGTCACCGGTGTTTTGCTGCTTCGAAGCCTCTAAAGCTCGTCATAGCCACGATGTGTAGCGGTTGCAGCTTTCCGTTCAGTATTTGAAACTTTCCTGTCTCGGATGCAGTCCGCTGTAGACTGCGCTTGATGCTGTATGGTGGGTCCTTCTCGTTGAAGGAAAGAAGCCCGGAGACCCGTGCGCGTAGAGGCTTGCTGATTCTACAGGGGAACGGATGGAAGCTCAGGGGCTATGGCCCGTCTCCTGTCGCATTACAGAATTGGTCTCGAGGAAGATTCGCCGAGCGCGGACACATTTCTCAGACGGGGAGTAGAGCTTACAAGGAGCGTCGCTGTGGAAGGTCACCTTCAGCCCTATTTATCCAGATGCGTGTCCTCTGAGGCCGGCAAGTTGTCGCTGACACGACTGAAGCCTGAGGGGTCACACATTAGGAGAGCCATCGGCGAACGTGCGTTGTGGCCGGCCAGGCCTCCGCACCAGTCGCAGATACTTTGGTTTCGCTGTTCTTGTTGTCAGAGGCTTCCAGATCTATCTGCGGGGTTACTGCAGGTGTGACCCTGACTTCCTCACTGAGATGCGTAGGACTGAGCTAGGCTGCAGCCGCCTTCACGTACGCTCTGCTGTAGCGCATTGCACGTTTACCGGCTTTCAGCTCGAAGTGAGGCGCGTGACTTGTGTAGTCGTGCAGAGGGAGATGCGCTGGCGTTTTTCTAATGGCACACGTACGTGGCGCAAAGCGCTCTTTGGCGAAGGGCTGATCACACTGTGATGTGGCTGGCTGACACACCCAGTTCAGGGAGGACCATGCAGCGGCAGCGCCTCGTGTAGCCTTGCACCACGTCTGAGCGGCCGCCTACGGCGCGTCGTCCAGCGGGGGAGTGTCCGGTTTCAAGTACTTGTCCTGCAGCTGGAGCCGGTCTAGCTGCGGCCCTCTGCTTTCCTCGCGTTGCCAACGAGGTAGTGTGATGGATCACGGTGACCCGAATTTTTCTCACGTTGCACGGAGTATACGTACGCGAGTATCCGGCTCCGTCCGCTCTCGCAGTATATCATGTCGAATCGGGGTGCCGCTTACAGAATAAGGAGCTGGATTACCTTCACGCAACTGCGTCGCATTCGAGGCAATAGTCTGACCCCTCCACCGCTAGAGGTGAGAGGGCCCTCTGCGGAAGAACCGCGCGTGGGTGTCTGCGTGTTGGGGATAGTCTTTCCAACGGCGAGGACACCGAACAGCAGAAAAGGCTTCGCTGTACAGGACAACGGGAAGTGCGCGGTCATACACGCTGTCGGAGTCTCTGCAGCAGAGGCACGTACGCACAAGACAGCAGGCGCCGACACGTGCAGGTTTCGTGGTGCGCCCACAGTTGTTCTAGATCAGCGCAACAGAACTTTTCCGGGATCATGCCTGTTTCGGTCACATGCGAGACTTCATGTGCCTGCGTGCACGCATAACGGTTGCCCGCGCGTTCTCTGTCGAGGCGCTATCATCTCCGACATTTGAAGGGGAGGGAGGGAGCCACCACTGTAGATTAATCTATCCGAGCAGCGGAGACCGGCCCCAGCAGAGGCGGAACATCTCTCTCGTCACGTTGCGCGGGCGTCGCCTACCTTGCCACCTGAAGAAGGTTGTGGCCGCGAAAGTTCATGCAGAACAGCGGGCGTCTGTTTATCCGCAATTTACTACTGTGTCGTTCTTTCGGGTCTCGGCAGGAGACGGTCTTTTTCCGGCGGCCTCTGCGTACAGACTTACTGTATGCACCGCGTACTTTCCGAAGTCAACGCGAAGAGGTGAAGCAAGAATCAGGCGCTATTGTCTGCGCAGCACGCGAGAGAACAAGCGCATAGGCCCACCAGATATTTACACCAACAGAGCGTGAAGCGGACTGTAGATCGCAGCCACACACATATCTGTATAAGTGTAGGGACTGGACTCAGGATGTTTGTACTACGCATGCACGCAGCGTTCAGCGGAGGTGCACGGGGGAACGTTGGCTGCTCCAGAATGGATACTAAGGTGCTAGCTTGACTGAGCACGCAAGATGCCTTCCGCCTAGAAGCGTCCAACAGAAACGAACGTACCAGCTAGGCAGCACTGTGGGTAAACTTGCCAATTCCGGAGTCCAGCTTCATCAGCGTTCGCAGACGGCACTGGTGCACGCCTCCTCCTTGCTGCTGTACTCTCGGCCGTGCGTTGACAGATTTTTACCACCCCTGAAAAACTGCGCATAGACGCAGCAGCAAGCACACGCCACGGTCGTGGCGGAGACGCCTCCACAAGACGAGCGCGCGCTACAAACTGTGCTGCGCAGCCGACGAGCTCTCAACACACACGGCTGAGTGTTTTCAGCGTGGCAGCACAAGCCCCTACAAGCATGTCAAGACGTGACAGGGCACGTGGCCCAACTGGTGTGTTTGGAGACGCCGCACCGTGCTTTTGCTTTATTTTGTATCAGTAAGGTGGACAGGGCTTGCGCGCGGAAGATTGCTGTTTCCTTGCAGACGAGTCGACGTACGCGGCGGTAACAGAAAATGCCGCGTAGACTTCAGTCATTACGTCTGAGCATCTGAGGCCGGTAGTATGTGCAACAATACGGAGGAGACACCGCTGAGGCGCAAGCAAGCTTGCGTGGAAGCGAAAGGGACGCTGAGTGCTACCCGATGCAGCAAGCAGCGCTGCTGAGGCAGAACCGGGTGTTACGCATTGTAAACTGCTGCCTTTGGGAGAACGGAGCTTTCTGAGTAGCGTGGTGCAGCTGACGTTGGCATAGTTCTTCAAACGTAAAATTTACGACTCCTTGTAGCGGGCGTCCTCGCAAAAGTTCAATAGTTCTACGCTTACTCACCTTGCCCAAGTCCGCTGCAGCTAGTCAACTGTCAGTTGACGTTGCGGCTATTTCAACCAAAGCAAGGGGACGCCCGAGACACAGAACCAGGAATGAGACCTTGACGTGGCATTTTTAGTAGATAAGAATACATTTTCAGTGATTACAGCGTCTTCTGATCTGTGTCCGTCGCTTCCCGGCAGTCTGCCATGTGGACTATAAGGTGCACATTAGCGCATCATTGCAGTTCCCAGGGTTGCCTACCGCCGCTGGAATTTTAGTTCCTTTTTTCTTCTCTGTCTACAGCTACAGTGGCCACCGCCTCGTGAAATTGCACAAATGCTTGGTGACCCACGCAGTTTGGAAAGGTGGGAGGGAGAGGGACGTACCACAAGGCGGTAACTGCGGTCAGCATACGTGTTGCGGCGGGTGGATATATACCCCGTTGGAGCCTGTTGATCGGACTAGCTTTGCTTCAGCGAGTTACTGAATATGTATATCTGTAAATCATTCCACTTTCCAGGGTGCGAGTGCTGAGAAAGCATCGTCGCTGCGACAGAAACCGGAGTGCGTTACCAGTGTCATCCGCGACACGGCTGAAGCGCTCTGGTTCTCGAATTTAGCGTATAAGATTCCAACGACTGACCAATACACGTATGCCACGCTGTAGGAATCTGTTGCGATGGTGGGCAACAGTGTGATGTGCCGACGAGAATTTATTCTTCTAGTTTGATGCTAGTGTTTGCCAGTACAGCTTTCCACGGAGAGCAGCGTTGCGCAAATGCATCCGGTGGCGCCCGCCGCCGGAAAGCCTCAGGCCAAGGCCTCGCGTGGGAGACAGCCCAGGCAGGCGGGTCGGCCGGCCTCCTGGTAGTGCACCACATTGGTAAGGCCGCCTTGGTAATTTCGCGAATTCGGAGAAGGCGAGTGGCAGCGACCGGCCGCCTCTGAGATCACACCACGGGGAGAAGCTCTTCTTCAGCGGTCACGCTGAAAAGTGCATGATGCGTACTGGTTTCCATTCGGGCTTTTCTTTAGCCGATGCCTTTTGAAATATCGTTCTGACAAACGGCGGCGCAACGTCAGTGCACGACACTTATCGGTCACCGGCAGCTCGTCACGCGTCGACGCGGCGCACATCGAAGCAATGTGTAGTGAATTCAAAAGTTCGAATGTCGCCCACCGCCGAAGCAGTCCCAGTCGCCTCTCCGTGTTTGAACACCTATGAGTCAAGCGGCAGACCTGCAAGTAGGAGAGGGACCAGTGCCACCAGCCAGTGGTCTAGGTGATGGAGTCTCTGCATACAAAAGCGTGAGGAACACGCGGTCTGAGTGACGGAGTCTCTGCGTGCAAAAGCCAGAGGGCGGTGCTGCCAGACAGCCGTCTAAGTGACGGAGTGTGTGCATCCGAAACGTGAGGAACAATAGCCGTCGACACGACAGGGCATTCTGGATGGGGAGGACGCACGGGTCTTCTCTCATCAATCTAGTGGGCAGGACGGCGTATCCCGCACATAACGGGATATATATACTGCTAGCCTGCGCAGTGACACTGTTCAGAGATTCACAGGTACGGCCCCTTGTTGGCATTTGAAGAAAAACGCACGCGACAGCGTAGTCACGCTGCAAGACCCTAGTGCAGCAGCCAGGACGTCGGCAGCGTGTACGGTGCTAGCGGACAGGAGCTGTTTGTAGTTCTCATTGTTAGAGATGCCCAGCCTTTGGTAAACCTCATTCCTCGAGCTTCGAAGATCCTGCGCTGCCTTCCAACGAAAAGCAGTTCCACGTCCGACAACACGAGGAGACGCACGCTTCCATTATCAGCGGGCTTTCTGCGGAGTACTGCAGTATCGGGACGCGTAAAGGATGCTGACAGCGTGGCAGCGGGCAAGCGGTGACGGTCTAGGGGTTCCCTGCGGTGGCGTGCGAGAGTACCATGCATGTTCACCATCCGGATGGAGCTATATCAAACACAGGTGTTGTGCGTAGTCTGGGCGAACAAAAGTCATTGAGATTCGAATGCTGATGTACAGGTTCCGATGCGGTAAAGGCATCGGTATCATTCTACTGTTACCAAGAAGTTCCTCCGTAGATTCCTGCTTGTCTACATAATAAGGGAGCATAGTAGACCGGTTGGTCACGCAACTCGTGCGAAACATGCGGTAGCCCCTGCTCGTGTAGACAGACGAAATATGATGGGCAAATACTCATCCCACAACTAAGAAGAGAGGACTGCAGGCTTAGCAGCGTAGAAGCCGGTTAAGTACACAATATGAATACAGCTCCGTGCTCCGCCGCCCGCGCAAATATCACAACCCTTCTGCACCACACTGTGCAGGCGGCGTCCACCTCGTGAACATTCTTACGCGCGTGTGCGCCACCTGGTGCGACTACAGGCGCCAGGGTTTGTCGGCAGCAGAAGCCTGGGGGAACCTCTCCCGGAGACGGGCTGTACTGTTTGTACTGCTGGCCGGAGCGTGGAGAGCGTCAGTCTGTCCAAAAGTCTCGACCGCTACTGCACGAGTCGCCTTGGCTCCACGCAGTCATGATGAACATGTAGGCGCCGTACTATACTGTTATGTTCACCGCTTCTATCGATCACGAGAGTACGCACATGCGTAGGATTTTCAGAGTGGTGTCTGGCTCTTGGCTAAAGAAGAGCCCCGTCGCTACTCATGGGATAGAGAAGAGCGCTGGTTTTACTTGTATGACGCCGGGCTTCCTTCAAGCGACGGCGGCGTTGTCAATCAACGTGACAAAACCGGCTACCCTATACCGAAGCGGACTGCAACTCTCTTTATGCTGCCACCCGAAACAGCCTACAACGCAGCACTCGGATTCTCGTTTACATCGTAGCGACTGAGGAGACGTCGAGGCCTCTACAAGGGGATTGGCGGTTATCCACGAGGTGATCTACTTTGGTGGAGCCGCTGCAAGCGTACCTCTGGTGACATCTGGGCCCACATAGGAGGGCGGGACACACTGGCGCTTTCTTCCGCGACGAAGAGAGGGCCGCACGTGCGCGCGTGATTGCAGACTTGTGGCACGCATACAACCAGGTGAGAGTACCTTATTCCGGATCTGCCTGGGCCAACGCGGCGTTCTCGGATATCGGGGTCATATCAGGCTGAATACCATGTGCACGCTCTGCCGCGCGGCAGCAAATTGCGCATGCCGCATTTGCTTGTGGTTCCCACCCTCGTGGATGTGGTGCACGCCTATTCTACGACGTCAACCCGCCGTTTACCATCCACGCCTTCGTGGCAAAGCGACCGGCGGCCCTCGGAAGAGGGCCTGTGTGACCATACGCGGAAGAGATTCAGAATGTAGCCGCGGAATGTCGCTGCCGCCGGCCTGTAGACCAGACGGCGGCTTCTGTGCGCTTCAGAAAACGAGATTCACCGCCAATCTATCACGCTTCGAACAGAAGAAGTCGACGTGAATGACGGTCAGCTAACGGTGAGAACGCTGTAACACAGTGCGGAAGTAGGTGTGCCGCATTTTTCGGAAGGATACACACGACGTGCGTCCAATGCGTACTCACCAACATGTGCGGCAAGAGTAGCCGCGTACCCCCCCACGACTTTATAGAGTGTGTATAGTTCGAAGTTCTACGAAGTAGGGATCCGCAGAAAGACTGGCCTGAGGTGACGGTTGTGGACGTGAGCCCAAGGGGTCAGCTGGCTTGCTCAGGAACGCTACTCGGTATTCGCGACGGCTTCGGCTGCTGAGTACTTCAGGCCCGCCGTCTCAACAGCGACAGTCGGTCGAACAAACGTACTGCCACTCGTCACCTCCGGCTAAAGAGAAAAGCGGACCATTCACTGTTTTCATATGGCGGAAACCGCCGCCGCGTTCGGCACTGACTTGCAGGAATTCTCCTTCGTTGGAAGCGCGCTGGTTGGGGCGAAGAATAAGACGCGCGCTGTGTCCTCGTGCGTATGTATGCCAGTGATTTGGCGTCCACGGTAACCGCATTATCCCCCGCTCAATATACGCGCGCGTAAATTAGACGCTGGCACGTGTCAGAACGTACCGAATTTTAACCGCAGCGCCTATGAGCAGCGCCACGCATCTGGCTGCGCGCCGTTCACAGAAGAATGGCGTCTCCCTCAGTGCTATGCGAGAGAACGGGTCGCAAGAAGCACGACCACGCGCCGGATGATTAGCTGCAAGAGAACATAACGCCCAGCAACCGACGGCTTTACTTCTTCTGCAAGCATCCACTGCTTCCTATTCGAGAGCCCCGGCTGCACTTGGAGGCTCAGTGCAATAACGCGGGCTCGTACGCGTTCGAGGCGGGGCCAAAGAAAGTACTTGCGCGTCGCCGACAGGTCTCTCACTAAGAGGGGGCCCGTGCGAGAACAAGCCTACCTGCGCTGCTCGTCAAGTGGAGCACGGGCACGGGCACGCGTTTGCGAAAAGTGATGCAGAGATACCTGGCCTCGCTTCTCTCTACTCGAGAAAGTCTGGGGGTTTTGAACCGTGTATCGCGCAGGGCGTTGGGCGGTCAGTGCTGGATGGGTCGGCTAAAAGGATAACCACGTTCCAATACGTGTTGCAGAACCAGTGGCGGAGAGGAAGATATAGTCCGCCCTCAAAATCATTTTGTGCTGTGTAAGACGCCGGTCTGTTCGACCCATTGGCGGCTGAAAGGTATCTCACATAACAGTCGGTGCGGAAAAGGCGACAGACCACCTGCCACGCCCGAAGCAGAATCCCGAGAGGAGGCTCGTCTGCCCAGTTATTCGAGCCTACACGTGACTTCAGCTCTCCTGAGAATTCGTTTCGTGCACCAATAGCCTTGGCTTCGGCCCTGCGTCTGCGGCATGTTTCGGTGACCCCGAACTGCAATACAACGCACGCTTCCAGTAGGAGGAAATGTCGCCGTCGTTGAGCGCTCAACATTCAATTCAGCCAGTAGCGCCAGAGTTTGCGAACAGTATGAGCTGAGGATGCAAGCTGGAACACCGGTGGCTTCCTGGTATGCCAAGACCATTTTTTCAGGATGAGCGCCTTACGGGCAAAGCATGGGTCACCCAAAACATTTCGATGGACAGAGATACGATAGAAGAGTAACAGGTGACTGAATGAGGCTGTCGTCTGTCCCTTCAGGGTGCTCCACGTCGGGCTGCAGAATACACAGATAAACGCAGCACAGGATGATTTGGCGCAGCGGCACTGTCGCCAGTGACACATAATCATGCACGTGCAGCCTTCAGGGGAGAAACGAGAAAGCGACGGCAGGCTGACGTCGGAGAGTCTATTCTACCAGCGTGGAACGGACAGGCCTAAGAGCTGAGCCCGACTGGGATGCGCTCCCCCCGCGTAACACTGCGCGGGCCCCTCAGAGATGACAATTCTTAAGGTGCCCAGGTGTGCTGCAGGATCACGCTATATGTATATATATATATATATATATATATGCGTAGAATCTCGTCGTTGATATGCTTCTGGATACTCACCTGTTCTCGCGGCCACTACAGCTTAACGTGCTCCTGAGATCCACCAGCTGCAGCGCGGCCCCTCGGACTCGTTTGCTGCCCGCCCTACAGTCTCGTTGCGCCCTCTCCATGAAGGAGCTATCTAGATGGACCCGGCAGCACAAGTGGTCGGTCTCAAACGTGCCTTACGCTTGCCAGCGCTTCGACGTCTGGGAAATGACCTTGGGAACGTGCGAAGCACGGAATGAAGCCCGCGTCAACCTTTCGTGCGCGACTTCTGCCTTCGCCTCTCTGCTGTAGAGTCGGATCTGGAAAGGAGTACGGGACGGGCCCTGTTATGGGACAAGGAGACAGCCATAATGCTCTCTTGCCGGTGCGTCCTGTTCTCTTGCAGGTGGTCGCCCTTTTCCCCGCGGTCGTGCTTCTTACGACGCAAGCGCAAGTGCAGACAGCAGAAACATCCAGTTGCTGTGTCCTGCAAAAGATTTCTGCTTGTTCAGGTACATGAGCCCAAATAGAATACGTCTCCGGTGCAGGTTTCTGCTGCGCAACGATTTTACAACAGCTGCGGAGCTCTACACAAAAGTAGCAGCTCTCCACGAGAGGCTGAAGAGTCTTTCAGCCTATTGCAGAGGGAGAAGGCCGATTTCGAGTAATTGAGAAATGACAGGCGGTACCACCTGCTGAGCTGTGAGCCGTGGTAGCATGCAAATAGGCAGGGCGACGCTCGCACAATCAGTGGCCGAATGGTAGAGGTAGAAAGGCCTACGGGGGTTTTCCTCAGCTTCTCGATTTACTGCACTGCCGGCGCGGTGATACGGGCTCCGGAAGGCGGCTAACCATTGCAATACCTTATCACACGGTCAGACTCTGTGGCGCGGCAGGTCGTCTTCGTGAGTGACTTGCAGCAGCACACAGGTATCTGCGCCAGCTCCTGACTGCCCATTTTACGATAGCGCTTACTGCTGGCTATCTCTCTGATGGGCGATACTTTGCTCTACAAGAAACGGATAACCCCGCTGTCATGATTGCCTGGACTTGTTCATCAGCGTATCTTGGGTGCTGGCGCCTAGAGGGTGCGTTTGCCCTATGCTGAGGAGCGCACGCACACGCCGGGCCCGCTCGGGTGAACTCCGGCGTGTGTATAGGGTAACTGCGGAATTGATAGGCCCGGCTGCTCAAAAAGGCAATTTGACAAAACGGGTGGTATGACAATATAGGCGTCCTTTCAGTTGGCTGAAGGTTGGTCTGTGCATTTTGCCTGGAACGGAGCACCGCCGAACAGGATCTTGAAAAATGAAGCTAAAGTGAGATGTGAGACGCGCGCGTGTGTTGCCCTGTAGGAACTTTTTAGGCGATATGAAGAGAAGACGCTACATCATATAACAAGGAACCGGGTGGAAAGATGCACACACGAGCACCTCGTTGCGACAGCCGCAAGAGCCGCGTTTAAGAGTCGAGGCAGACGTGCTGTGCAGCTTGACAGCCGGTGAGAAGTAAAAGGATTCCTGCGCGTCGTGCGCAAGTAGTGCATTACGAAGTACCCCAGGAAAATGAGCGGAGGGCGCTCTTGAGAGGAGCTGGCTCGCCGTCCTAGGACCACGTCTGCTGCAGCCCTGTGGTCAGACAACTATCGTTGAGGGTTCACTCGCAATAACGTCGAGGTAGAAGGAGTCCTGCTAGGAAAAGGCATGCGACGGAGGTTCAGCTGTACGGGAAGACGTCACCGGAGTAATCGAAGTGGTGCCAGGGACGGTACACACCGGTCGGAAACGCCAGGGCAGGGCAAAATCTGTATTGGGCACGGTGCGCGCGGGGACGTAGCAGGCTTATTCATGTCCAAAACAGACGCGGGACAAGGTAAGCTGGCATACGAACAGCAGCGCTGGATACAGCTCAACTTGCCGAGGTGTCAGCGGACAAGAAAACACGTGCATCTGCTACGGCTTTTACTCTAGTACAGGCACAGCTGGCATCTCGGCCGGCAGGCTCTGCGAATTGGCTTCTGGTAGGTAGAGTGCGCTGCAGCAGGCTCAGTAAATAATCGCCCCGCCAACGCACAGTATACACCACCGAGCCCTACATCCTCTCCGGAGCAGTCAACAAGACTGCCAAGATCATGTACCGAGGGTACGTCCACAGCGTCCTGTCAACGCCGCCAGAAAGCGGATCACGACTGAATTGACAATGCGTAGATACGACACTGGAAAATGTCTAAATTCCCTGCGCGGCAGGGCGTCACCTCTTCAGAAAACATAGGAGAATAGCAATGCTGTCTCGGTGAAAGGAGCGCACCCTGCTTTTTTCATCTAGAAGGAAGAGAGTCAGGACGGAGAGCCAAAACACGCGGCTCGCCGGTTGCGCACACAGTAGGGTCAAAGCACATGGACAGGGATTGTCGAGCGAGACTTCTTTTCCGGGAAACCAGCCACAAACTACAGATCTCAGGATGCCTTGGGCTGACAGTCGGCAGGCCTTGCAAAAAATGCTTTCACCGGAAAGGTGAGCTACAAAATGCAGAGAACGCACAAACAAACAGGATACTTGGCATACCTTTGGGGGGGCCGCTCTTGTGTCCTGGTACGGCACCAGGTTGGCTGCGAGAAAGATATCAGTGGAGCGTGGCTCTCCACGGCGGGTGCCTCTGAACCTGAAAGATTCCCTTCTCTGGACACCGGTGAGACGTTCACAGGTAACGAGAGCAAAATATGCCGCCCCTCCGTCAATTGTCCAAGCAGGAGGCAGTGAGTGACAACGACGGACAATGACGCCTTTTTTGCTCCGTAGGCCGTATGCCTCTACAAGAGAAGGCTCTCCAACGGGTAACCTAAGCTACCCGGAGTGTGCTGGCGTTGAGAGTTCCCATTTCCTATCTGCGGACGTTGGGTTAAAGTAGTCTGCAAATGTCGGAAGGTCGTCGAGACAGGGTGTCAAATGGGGTGCTGTCTTCGTGCATAACGCGTCCGTAAATGCACTCGAGCGTCCTACACCACGAGGCCCGGAACTTTGAAACGAAGCGAATTATTACGTTTTCTACTCTGATGCAGTCCCGATGTGCATCACGCATACCGCGCGCCCGGGAGCTGCCAAACCAATAAATCAGACCCGACAGAACGTGTAATGCGATGCTGCGAGGTGGCGCACGCCAGGGACCTAGTCTACCTAAACTAGGAAGTAAGCTCCACAGCTCCGCACATTCGGCGTACGCTCACATACTCGCCTATAAGCTGACACTCCAGGGTCCAGACAACACGAGGCGGTGCCTTCGTTCGTTGACAAACCGAGCGCCGACGGTCACAGTCTAGCCGTGATCGTGAGCACGACTCTGTTGTGCTGATGGATGTGTGGTCACGGTGTTACCGAGTGAGAAAGAACAATCAACAGGACGTGGGGAACTGCGGAACAGGAGCACGACTGTGGGGAGGCCCGTGATGCAAGCCCTGGTGTTTGGTGCACACCGGTGCGTCCGCTGCAGTCGAGACCCATCTACTTCGAGAGCCCTCGCGTGACTGAAGAAAAGAATGATGCGCTGACTGTGCGCACAGGTGTGACCCCTTCGGCTCGTGCGCTCTACGCAGTGCGCTTACGCACCGGCTTCGGTGCACGGTTTGCACTTTGCAGGAGTCTACAACACGCGAAGTAGAAGCGGAGGATATCACAGTGAAGGAAAAGGCTAAATTGACACGTAGGATGATGTCGTTGTCCTTTTGTTCGTCTGTATTGTGGAGGTGGCACTGCATTCTGCACCCCGCGGTAACGAGAAGGAAAACGCTGGGCGCTTAGACGTGTGTCCTGCGTCGCCTGCTGGCAACGCAGGCACATGAATAATCCAACGCCGGCGGTACGTGATAGGGAAATGTGCTGAGCAAAACTGCTGGGGACTCTGCGAGCCACCAACACCTTTAGAGTCGTGCAGCGGATGGGAGCGGAAGTGTGACGCCTTGGTGCACGGAACACACATCTGTAGGTCTGCGGGGCTGCTCTATTTGTGACCTCAGCATCTCTGGAAATGGCTGCCAAACCAGTTGTCTCTTCTTATAACCGATTCCTCGTAGCGCATCCCTCATCCGAGCCTGGCTGCGAAGAGCGACAGAAGGTTGCACAGTAGTGCAGTATTCAGAGCTCGCCCGCTGTGTTGACGATTTAATGCTGGCGGTCGCGAGCTGCGGAGTTGATGACGGGACTGGAAAAGCGGCTACACGCTTGCCTCGTGCGCCATCATTTGAAGTGACTGACTGCTGAAGAGGGCAGCGCCGACGGCGGGGTAGACATTGCGCTGTCCGACTCAGCTACGGCGAATAGGAGCGGTACCTGCTCAGGTTCGTACGGTCTTGGCGCTGCTACATGCAGAGCGCGCGTCTTCCCTTCAGCTGTGTACTAGTGTGACGTGTAAGCACACCTGCACACCGCAGGGCAGGTGCACGGTCTTCGGTCCCTCTCCTACTGCCGTACGCTGTTGGCTGGGGGGGCTGACGTCCCACTTCGTGGTCCTGGCTTTCGAAGGAATACACCGCTGGACGTTTATTTCCTGCTGTACTGCAAGAAAGTACGCCTCCTCCGCTCGTTCGTAATATGGGGCGGTTGGTGAAACCGGAGTTCTCACCTGACTTGCAGGGGCCTGTATCGCGAGTGCTTGCTGAAGAGATATCTGCTCGTGCAGGCGATACGTTCGGCGCGCGGGCCCGCCCATCAGGCTGACACAGAGGGAGAACCATTTGTCGCTCACACATCAGAAGTGCGTTGTCAGCCGCAGGAATTTAACTGGTTCCACGAGAGCCGCCCGTTCGTAGGTCAATGCGGCATTACGTGGGCATCAGTACGGGTGCTACCGTAACGTGGCGGCGCCGATGGTCACTGCAGGGCGGCACAGGACGTGCGATGGGCAGCGTTCAGAGCTGGCATCTGCTTCGGCGACAAGTGATAACATGTCTGCGGAAAGTCGCTTACGTCATTCTGCACAGTGCACCATGCAAACAAGCGACTAATGTGGCGCGAGGCCGCTGTGCTGCTTCACATCTCCGGTGGAAGCTGCGGCGTGGCACAAAGCACCGCAACCGCACGACCTCACTTTTACCGCGGGCTTAGTCGCGAGAAGTCCTTGCACTGGAGTCCTGCATCGCGTCGGAGGCAAGTCGGGGGTGTGGGATGAACGCCGAAGGACCTGAATATGAGTTTGGCGGGTGGCTTGGTGTGGGCGAGCACATCTGTTGTGCCGCGGTAAAACTTCGTTCTGCGCATGTGCAGGACCGAGGGGGCGCAATGGCATACAACGGGGTAGTTGACGCCTCATATACGATGGGTACGAACGCGAGCAAATGATGATGCGCTCGTTGAGAGATGACCGGGAGGGGGATGCAAGTGCGCGCGGATCTGCGCAAGCCTTTCTGGTTTTGACGCAGTGCAGCGCTATAGCCACAACATTCTAGAATGCTGCAGAAGCCGCAACACTACGTACCGCATTTCGACGAAGTAACTTTGCACGGGGGGCACACGCGCTGAGAAGATAGGTTTGGGAAGTGCCAGCTCTCCCTCAGAGTGAGGACGCACCTGACTCCTGCCGCAGACCAGTAAATCTCTCGGCTTACGCGTTGGTTCACCGCTGTCCGCTACCTGCCGTATCCTGCGGCTAGAATCGCACAAAGAATTGTTGAGGAGCGGAGCTGTCTGAGCGTCACTGCAACTCGTGCAGCGCCGATCGTCAGGCTTTATGTGCGGGAACAGACACACCGGAGTTGCCAACCAATGACGCGTTGTGGTTTCGGAGGCAATCCTCAGGTCTCTTCGTATGTTTAGACGAGAAGGAGTCTATGTGTATGCATTGAGGAGGGCGGCTGCGGAGCTATTTCCAGCGTTTTCTGGCGCGGAGCCTGGAGTTGCGGTTACCGCCTGTGTCATGCACATGTGTACATTCCCTCTGAGTGGAAACGCAGGTTGCCACAGTGGCACGCTTCACCTCTACCTAAATGTAGATCGCCACACATTTACGAACAGACAGCGGCCCGACGTTTTCAGTCTCACCCACCGCTTGCCTAATGAAGATTGACACGCCTGAGCGGTGGCAACACACCGCGACGACTTCTCTCTTCACGGCACGCCATGCAGCGCACTGCAGAACGTTGGTTCGAGGCGTTGAAAAGCAGGGCAGAGCCACAGCGTGGCCCGGGCTCGTTAGTACTTCTTGGCGCCGTCCGCACTGTATAATACATCCCCGTGGATGTGCGAGCGCCGTGAGGGAGAAACCGGCGGTTCTTGTTATGAGCGCTGTTGCTCCGACTCGACTCCTTCTAGAGGACAAGCGCAACGACTTGCCATGTTTGTTTCTAGAGGGGGGCGGATTTTGTCGGTCTTTCAAACCACTCAGTGCAATTTTTGTCTAACAAAGCAGACGGCCGTCGCCAGTGTCCAGTTGCAGCATTGACGGGTTGTCCAGCCGACCCCATACTTTGGAGCAGAGTTACGCCTGCGCAAGGCGTGCTTCTGCGATTCGTGAATAACGCATAGTTGGTAGGTGACAGGCCCCCAGACTCGTCTGCTCCCTTCCCGTTTGAACGATGGACAATGCGCCTGTATCCAGAGAGCGACGGGTTGGGACATCCTTGTCCACGTAGCGTTTCAACAGACCACCGTCGTGTGTGCCCCATAGAAACATTACGGTCTCACGGAATCGCCTGCCTGAGCCGTGAACAACTCTAGAGCCCGGCGGCGGGTGTCGAACTCGAAATGACAGGAACGGGAATTACGTGAGGCGTGTGAACAACTTTTTGTCTACTTCTGAACGCCGGTGAACTGCGTCATAGCCCATGTGGCTAGCGCGCTCCTGCGTTCGTATATGTGGTGCATGTTCAGCCTTAGCCGTGGGGCCGCTTAGCGATAGGGCTCGGAGGAGGTGCCCACGACGGCAGAACAGAGTACGAAGGTTGAATTCAAGCGACAGAAGCTCTCGTACTTTGAAAACATGAGGACTCAGCCGTACTACAAGAGCAAAGAAGCGCTGGCAGAGACCGAACCTGAGAAGAAAGCAGTCCAATTATTTCGCCTCTCTGCAGCTTGCATTCCCTGTGCAGGCCCGCGCAGCGTCTGCACGTCGTAGTTTGAGAGAGCACTCACGTACCCCGGAGCCGCTGTTGCAGATCCTTCTGCATCGAAAGTGTCGCAGGTGAGTTTTCAGATTGCAGAGCTTTAGAGCGTACGTGCTGGAGCCGCCGCGCGGAGGCGCGAGCTCGCTGCAAGACACTGCAAGCCGCCAAGGGCGACGCATCAGATTGTAGTTGGCGGGAAGTGAAGTGCAATGCAGCGCTTTAGTTGTACCTTGTTCCGGCATAGTCCGCACAGGGTGTCGGTGGTCCGGCTCCTTCAGGAACGAGACAGAACATCAGAGGGAGCGCGCGCTGCTGCTCTGCCTGATCAGCTGAATTTCGCCCCCCACGTTTACCGTTCTGAGCATGCTAGCGGTCCCGCAAGGTGCACCCTACTGTTGTCTTCATAGCCAAAAGTCGGACACAGCCGCGCACGTGGAAACTTAACGCGCTCCGGACCGCGTGCTGGTGTTGTTTATCCGGATTGTGGGTACTGGAGAGCGTTACACGGAAACGGGAGTAGTGAGCCGTAGGACGCGAGAATTTCAGAGCAAATTTACAAATGAAAATACGAA